AAAAAAAAAAAAAGAAGAGTTCCTGCAAAAGATGGTGACCGTTGAGAAAAAAATAATAATAAATTGCCTTAATATCAAACCTCAAACAAATGCCCATATAGATAAAAAATCAGAACCCCGCCCAAAAAGTGAAAAAACCCTGATATCGGTATATACAAAAAGCATGTTGATACCAAAAAAAAAACAAAAACCTTTTCTTTAATGGCAAGATTTCCATTTTTGATCAACTGTCTGAACTTCCAAGTCCCTGAGGATCTGAACAGACACGTAACACAGGTATTGTCTGTGAAGTTGTGTTTGTGCACAGCTTTGTTCACATCTAGTTAACCCCTTGTCGAGCAGGCTTTCCAGCATTCAAGAGTGTTCTTAACTGGAAGTAAACGAATTGCCTAGCATTTAGTTCTGATCCCAGCATCCCTGCAGCACATCAAATTATGGACACAAAACACTCATGCATTTTGTCCTGATGACTTCCATTGTTCAGCTACTCAAGACTTCTATAGCCCCAGTAACAGCCGAAAACTTCAATCCGAATATATCAACACATCTGTGTTCAAGTTTAGTGAAGACAATACTCCCTAGACACCGAAATATATACAAAGTATGTACGATGTAAACCGCAATACTTTTTTAGTAGCTGCACATAGGAATTTTCAAGTGGCATTAAAAACATTTATACAGAGATACTTCTGATAAAATTGGCCCCTGTGAACCATTATCTCCTTTGCTTTCACAAGCCTAACTTTTCAAAAATCACCTGTGTGAGCACTTTAAATAAGCCATAGCTGCAGAGATGAACCAGCATGCAGATAGAGTATCTGGAGCTGGCCAAAACACCATTTAACATTTCCAATGTGCATAGTGATTTTCAATTTTAAGGTTAACCTTAAAGCAGTAAAATCTCATTCACCTACAAAAAACCCACAACATCTTATTACCACCAAGTGACCTTTTCAAATGACCAAACTCGAAAACAGGAATGTTTAGTCAATATACATCTCCCCTACTAAACTTTCTATTCAAAATGTCACTGCTGGAAAAAAAAAAAAAAAAAGTGCTATTCAGCTAGACAAAGGGAGCAAATGTTTGTGGCAAAGCACCAAAAAACAGGCTAGGGTAACCTGCAAAAGGGGGAGGGATTGATGAGCAAACACAGAGACTCGGTAAATCCAGTGCTAAGAAAAAGCCTTCCAACAAATTCAAGTTCATCTGAATATCCCAAAACCATGTAAAACACCAACATAGTGGAAGCCATTCTTTCATGAAGTTTTGAATTCCGTGGAATGCTTGAGTTATTGGGTTGTTAAACTGTTTAACTGTGCAAACTCTAGAACAGTTTCTCCAACACCAAGGAAGTATATAACTTGTACTATTCCAAAAAGTGGTGCAATGACCAAGGCACGACACCCTGATCCCTTCAGAAATGCAGATGGACCTTCTTTCACCCAAATCTTCCTGTAAAAGAGAAGGGAAAAAATAAAACAGAAGTAAAAGGAAACTTTACTTTCTAACAAGTAGGGTTTAGAACTACTACAAAAACTTGCATTTCGCATGTTGTTGGCTGTAGAACCAATCTTTCTTAATGACACTCCAACGCACCTTACATCATGCAGAAGAACACGCATCAGCATGTATGTGTTATCACAGCACAACAGCTGAGTTACCATTCAATATATAGTCCTAGGAGGTTTTAGTCTTGCAAAAACTTAAGTGTCAGTTAACACTCTGCACTTAACAGTCATATTGGCTGAAGTGGGCTTTAGGTGTGTAGGCACCAAATGCCTAGATGAAGGCAGGGCAATGCCAGCCTTACAATACAGGTACAGTAAATCGATTTGCTACATGTAATACTGTATACCTGTATACCAGTTCTATGTGAAAATGAAGTGTAGAGTATATTATAGTGTTTGCACATGTAGAGATGTTTTGAGTTTTTCAGTGTCTAACTGTATATAAAATGTATATCATTAGTCTACATGATTTTTTCCCCCCCATCCAGTGATTCAAAGTACAGAAACAGGCAGCCAGTAAACAAGCATTATCACAAGGAGGTCATCTATGGCATCAAACGTATTTCCTTTCAATAAGCCAGATTTCCACTGGTTCTGCAAAAGCAGTTCTAGAGAAATATTGGTTGTGTATATCGTTTTAAACAAAACCAAACTTTTAATTCAACTTTGAGTGGAGTTCTTATTGTGCTATATAGAAGGCAATGGAAACCAAACTCTTTCAAAATGAACTCCATTTAAAATTCTTCTTACCTGGCACAATCTATTATTCCACTGTACGTCTCTTCATTTGCTCCTTTATGCAAAGACTGAAGGCGCGTCTTTATTACTGTAAGGAAACATTGATAAAGTGATATGAATACTTAAAATAAGAAATAGAATCCTGCAACATGGACCAAATTGCAGGCTGTGTGTAAAATGTACATGTATACAAACTCATGGATGGTATATTTTGCAGAGACATGCATGATTAAAAATAGAAAAAGTGTACAGCTTGTCAAAGTCCAAGAAGGAAGCTTACCATCACAAGGATTGACAGCAACAGCTGCAGTGGAACCAGCAACACAGCCCGCAAAGAATGAATGATGGAACGGAACCTTGCCATCCACGGAGGACTGTCCCAGTTTATTTAGTTTGGAAAACAATGGAAAGTAGATGACGGAGAATGGAACATCCCTGTCAATGAAAAATAAATATACACATTAGAATAAAGGTCAACTTACATTTTTTTTTTTTTAAGCGACACTAAACTGTGCCATTAAAAACACATTCAAGTATCCCATTAACAAAAATGCATCTTATTTGTGTATCACTCGGCTGTAGATCCTCAAATCATCTCTGAATTCATGCTGACACCGTCCTTCCTTCTGGAGGGTGGCTACTTCTGTTCCCAATGGTTCCTGTGTGTGTTGTAAAGTAGTCACCGCTCCAAGATCACTCACATGATGGACTACAATCTCAGGTTTAGTTAGCCAATTTGTATCGAGATGATTTGAGGATCTACAGCTGAGTGATAAGAAAATAAGAAACATTTTTGTTAATAGTTAAGGTACGTGAATGCATTTTTAAGATTAACTCCTGAGTTTAGTGTCACTTTAAACTCCGTCTTATATTTTCAGAAAAAGACAGATCCCAGTAACATTTCAATAAAATCTGTACCGAGAAGGCTGCCATTGATTCCTGAAAACATGCCAGTTGCTTGGCTCTCATGTTGATCCAGAGTTCTGACTTACCTCTGAATTTTCCTGTGTGCTTGTTCAAAGACGAACTTAAAGTGCCAATATCAGAGCCAGGCAACTAGCGTTTTCAGAAAAAAGGTTTCCATAGGCTTTTACCCCACACACACACACATTGTGCACTTGCAGTTAGCCAGTCCCTTCTAAATGAACTAATCCGGGTATTTTCGCAATCACCAACATTTTAAAAAAATTGTTTTTTATGCTATATGGTGGGGATTTTTACTGACAATTTTGTTTAAAGGCATGATAGTTTTGTGTGGCAGTTCTGGGTATTTTGATCATAGTAATATTGGTCACTTAACTAGCACAGTTTAAAGCCGATCTCCAGGATAAGCAAATATTCTCTATATAGAAAAAGAGAAAAGTGCATTCATTCTGGGAACTGGAGTGATGCTTTGTTTATTTCTTCAAGATCTGTGCAGTATTCCAGTGCAAAAGGTGTATGTATGTATGTATGTATGTATGTATGTATGTATGTATGAGATCTAGATTTTTTTTTTTTAATTAGCATCTTTGTAACTAGAGTTCAGCTTTAAGTTATACAACTATGAGGCTGCAGCACATGTGTGTGTGTGTATACATATACATATATATATATATATACATACATACACACACACACACACACACACACACACACATATACAAGGAAATGCACTGCTAATTTTCTGCAGGAATTCAAGATGAAAGGGTAGATTATTCTTTGATTTTTTAATTTCACTTCACTTTAAAGAACCCCCATTTAATCCAGATATGTATTTAAATATGTAAATGTTTTTTTTTTACCCCCCAATAGCCCCTTCAGTCCATCTTTGAGGACGTGCTGAGGATTACGAGAGATTTTTACAAACTGGGAGTGGAAGGAGTATACCATTAGGGTTTACTGCATTGCTGTGAACAGAACAAATGGAGCTTGCTGCTGGAGAACTTAGACATGACCTCATAAGTGAGCAGCTACTCCCCTCAACCCTTCAAGTCACAGCCTTTATTAAGCTGTATTGCTTTAAAACAGTACTCCAGGAATTTATTTATTTTTTTATTATCCCTTGAAGTGAGGCTACCCCCCACATTGCAAGAGTTAAGTGCTTGTTTGTGTCTAGGTGCTAAAATAACAAAGATATACTGGCACGAAGTTCCGAGGTGGCCAGCTGTCATGGTGCTCTCTTCAGCCTGTCCCCTCCTACGCAGCAGATTGGAATGTTCCCTCAGCATCTTTTCATCTATGCTCAGTGTATAGACATGATGATTTACTGGACCTTAGACCACGGCAGAGGGGGAGAGACATTCCAGGGACCGGTCTAAGACGAAGCTGGCTCGGAGCTTTGGTTGAGTAATTCTTTTTTTTTTTTAACCTAAACACAAATGAGCAGTTAACCTTTGCAGTGTGGGGGTAGCCCCACTGCAAGGGTTAATAACAATTCCCAGAGTTCTGTAACTACAATAAAGAGAAAATGGTCAATGACTGGCTTCACAATTGTTTCAAAAGTCATTAGCTAGATTACTTCCAGCAGGTAAACATGCCTCAGTAAAGTTGCACCCAGTCCTCTGTAAAGTCCTTTAACACCTTCATTACGGAAAAGCTCAGCGGCAATTTGTGAAGCAGACATCTTGTGAGTTGTTAAAGTCGGTCCGACATTGTAAGCTCTTGTTAGTACAGGAATGGTGTTTAAATATTTTGTGCCATGTGTAATGCTCTGTATCCCTGTGGCAGACTTCTGACAAGATGCTGAAAAAACAAGCAGAACATATATTAGTCCTGTAATCTTAAGACATACATTTACAGATAGATGTATATGATCGCATACTATAATACCATAAAAAAGGGAGGGGGAGCACCTTATGGTTAAATACAAGGCAAATTAAATCATATCAAGCATAAGGCAGATTTTTCAGATGCAGTTAGCTACTACTACTGCTTACATAAAATAATGGCCGATAAGTGATTACACTGTTACCTAGTCTCCCAGCATCCTGGAGCTGAATCTTCAGCATTTCCATTGGGGTAGTGATAACAACCTGGCATGTCCCAGCACCACATCCTGCCAGCATTTCTTTGACCAACGTCAGTTTTTTTCTATAAAAGAAAAAAAAAAATGTTTAATTACATCTGTAAGAGTACCTTCTTAGAACTTAACTGCTTGAACATACACACACACACACACACACACACACACACATATACAAGGAAATGCACTGCTAATTTTCTGCAGGAATTCAAGATGAAAGGGTAGATTATTCTTTACTTTTTTAATTTCACTTCACTTTAAAGAACCCCCATTTAATCCAGATATGTATTTAAATATGTAAATGTTTTTTTTTTACCCCCCAATAGCCCCTTCAGTCCATCTTTGAGGACGTGCTGAGGATTACGAGAGATTTTTACAAACTGGGAGTGGAAGGAGTATACCATTAGGGTTTACTGCATTGCTGTGAACAGAACAAATGGAGCTTGCTGCTGGAGAACTTAGACATGACCTCATAAGTGAGCAGCTACTCCCCTCAACCCTTCAAGTCACAGCCTTTATTAAGCTGTATTGCTTTAAAACAGTACTCCAGGAATTTATTTATTTTTTTATTATCCCTTGAAGTGAGGCTACCCCCCACATTGCAAGAGTTAAGTGCTTGTTTGTGTCTAGGTGCTAAAATAACAAAGATATACTGGCACGAAGTTCCGAGGTGGCCAGCTGTCATGGTGCTCTCTTCAGCCTGTCCCCTCCTACGCAGCAGATTGGAATGTTCCCTCAGCATCTTTTCATCTATGCTCAGTGTATAGACATGATGATTTACTGGACCTTAGACCACGGCAGAGGGGGAGAGACATTCCAGGGACCGGTCTAAGACGAAGCTGGCTCGGAGCTTTGGTTGAGTAATTCTTTTTTTTTTTTAACCTAAACACAAATGAGCAGTTAACCTTTGCAGTGTGGGGGTAGCCCCACTGCAAGGGTTAATAACAATTCCCAGAGTTCTGTAACTACAATAAAGAGAAAATGGTCAATGACTGGCTTCACAATTGTTTCAAAAGTCATTAGCTAGATTACTTCCAGCAGGTAAACATGCCTCAGTAAAGTTGCACCCAGTCCTCTGTAAAGTCCTTTAACACCTTCATTACGGAAAAGCTCAGCGGCAATTTGTGAAGCAGACATCTTGTGAGTTGTTAAAGTCGGTCCGACATTGTAAGCTCTTGTTAGTACAGGAATGGTGTTTAAATATTTTGTGCCATGTGTAATGCTCTGTATCCCTGTGGCAGACTTCTGACAAGATGCTGAAAAAACAAGCAGAACATATATTAGTCCTGTAATCTTAAGACATACATTTACAGATAGATGTATATGATCGCATACTATAATACCATAAAAAAGGGAGGGGGAGCACCTTATGGTTAAATACAAGGCAAATTAAATCATATCAAGCATAAGGCAGATTTTTCAGATGCAGTTAGCTACTACTACTGCTTACATAAAATAATGGCCGATAAGTGATTACACTGTTACCTAGTCTCCCAGCATCCTGGAGCTGAATCTTCAGCATTTCCATTGGGGTAGTGATAACAACCTGGCATGTCCCAGCACCACATCCTGCCAGCATTTCTTTGACCAACGTCAGTTTTTTTCTATAAAAGAAAAAAAAAAATGTTTAATTACATCTGTAAGAGTACCTTCTTAGAACTTAACTGCTTGATATAAAATATCACCTAAGGAAAATTCTATGTGGAGATACTATTTTTACCCTGGGAAGTTGAATCTAAAAGCACTTGACAGATGGACAGAGTCCGATTTCCCAGGGTGGTGAATAACTTGACAAGTTAATCTGATAGGTGGCCATCAAATAACTTAGAATGTAGGTAACAGACAGATTCATTACAACCTTTAAAGAAACTACATCACTACGGTAGTCAGTGTTTAACAAGAAAAGGGAAATGTAAAAAAAGTCTGCTTTATGATTATGCTGTCTAGCCGGGAAAATGCACGTTAAAACGTAAGATCACCTTTCCAGTTTCACACGCACATTATATGGCTATTTCCAACATCTTTCATCTATTTTTTTTCTAATGATGCATGCTTTAGGCGTAGTTCTTATTTGGGTAGACTTATATAACCATTCTGCTTTAGCTATGTGAGGCTTATGAGCTCTGTTCAAAGAAAAACATGAAAGCTGTGTAAGGGGTGGGGGAGGGGGGTTTTGGGGGGTCAAACACTACCGAAATCCACAAACTATTCATCTTATTCTGAACTTTTAGTATTAAAAACTAGTTGTAACAAGTTTAGCAATTAATTGCCACAGTTCAATAAGCTAATTTAAGATATGATGCTCAGTTCACAAAGCTTGAAACACAAAAGGACTAATTGACTAAATTATCATAACTTACAATTTAGTATCCTTATCCTGGTGCATTAGCTTTGTGAAAAAGCTCGTAGTGTCAAGCCAATATATATTGTTATAAAGACTAAGAAATAATACCATGGTTGCGTTTCATGCTCCCATTACTAGAAACCCAACCATTTCTTTAGTGAAGTTGAAATGTGCATTGACAATGTAAAGCTGTTTCTATTTTAGCGCTATGGCCAAAGCCTGGTTCTGCTTGAACAGTGAATTAGTGCCTCACACAGAACCCACCCGGTGTGGAGGATTGGAACATTTGACCGGGAGCGAGCCCCCGCTACACATAGTGGTTACATTCTTCAGAGCTCAACCTTTTATTTTTTGATGGGAGAATCAGATCTAGAGTTACATATTTTATTTTAGGTCAACTCTGAAGTAATCCTGATTTTTTTAATGTATTGCTGGGATAGTGGAAACTGTTGTATTCTCTATAACTGATGGTACATTGCACTAATGGTATTCTGCATTGTGCTGTATAATACATCAGTTTTAAAGGAATGCAAATCCCAGCAATACATTATACACTGTATGTATAATGTTTTGCTGGGATTTGTTATATTCCTCTATAACTGGAGGTATTCTGTATTGTGCTGCAGGGGTGTGGACATTTTTGAAAAAACTACTTGTCCAAAAGGTAAGTATAGTGGGAGGGAGATTTGTGTGGGTAATTCCTTGGGAAAGTGAATACTTAGCGTTAATGCAGACTTGGGGATTCCCGGGACCTGCGATCGTGTGCGGTTGCATACTGCAGTTGCATCCGCATGTATGGGGTTACATCTGCGCGGCAATCGCTGAAAAAAAGGTAGATGTACCTATTTTCATGACATGCACCGTGCAGTGTTTTCAAATGTGATCGTGTGGGATCGCCCGGGCGGTATTGCAGCATGAAAACGCGCAATCTGCCTGGCACGACTGGGGTGCCATTCGAAAATAATGGCACTGACAGCACGATCGGCGGTGGTGTGCGATTCCGTGACCACCCAGCCATCCGCTCGGTTTCGTGCACGATGACCGGGCAGTCACGGATCGCACACCACTGCCGATTGCACTGGCAGTGCCATCATTTTCTAATGGCACCCCAGTCGCGCCAGGCAGATTGCGCGTTTTCCTGCTGCAATACCGTCCTGCCCGTGCGGTTGCACGCGATCGCAGGTGAAAACACTGAGTGTTTATTCGCATGCAGATGGGGGCAGCGGGGCTGGTTTTCATTTTTTTCAATTTTTATTTACTTTGTAAAATTTTCATTTGTTATATTATTTTTACTTTATCGCCTTTTTATTTTTTACATTTTTAATTATTTTTTACTTTTTTCTATTTTTTTTAACTTAACTGTATTGCTATTACACAGGGGATATAAATCCCCTGTGTGATAGCTTTTGGAGGTGACAGTTTCTCTTTGTTGACCCTGTCACCTCCTAACACAGGAGTTCTAGCACAGCACTGTGCTAGAACTCCTGTGACAGGAACGAGCAGCGGCCGCCAGGGACAGAGGCTGAGGGAGGTGACAGAGGCCGTCACTGCTCCATCACTACTCCACGCCCCCAGCTCCATCCACGCCCCTCGCTCTCGGCGCTCATTTAAGAAAAGAAAACCAGCCCTGCTACTTGTCCGTAGCAGGGCTAAAACAGTGAAAAAACCACTTGCCCAGCGCCCTGGACTACATGTCCCGGGCGTCGGAAAAGCTGGCTAAGGGGTGGGGGAGGGGGGTTTTGGGGGGTCAAACACTACCGAAATCCACAAACTATTCATCTTATTCTGAACTTTTAGTATTAAAAACTAGTTGTAACAAGTTTAGCAATTAATTGCCACAGTTCAATAAGCTAATTTAAGATATGATGCTCAGTTCACAAAGCTTGAAACACAAAAGGACTAATTGACTAAATTATCATAACTTACAATTTAGTATCCTTATCCTGGTGCATTAGCTTTGTGAAAAAGCTCGTAGTGTCAAGCCAATATATATTGTTATAAAGACTAAGAAATAATACCATGGTTGCGTTTCATGCTCCCATTACTAGAAACCCAACCATTTCTTTAGTGAAGTTGAAATGTGCATTGACAATGTAAAGCTGTTTCTATTTTAGCGCTATGGCCAAAGCCTGGTTCTGCTTGAACAGTGAATTAGTGCCTCACACAGAACCCACCCGGTGTGGAGGATTGGAACATTTGACCGGGAGCGAGCCCCCGCTACACATAGTGGTTACATTCTTCAGAGCTCAACCTTTTATTTTTTGATGGGAGAATCAGATCTAGAGTTACATATTTTATTTTAGGTCAACTCTGAAGTAATCCTGATTTTTTTAATGTATTGCTGGGATAGTGGAAACTGTTGTATTCTCTATAACTGATGGTACATTGCACTAATGGTATTCTGCATTGTGCTGTATAATACATCAGTTTTAAAGGAATGCAAATCCCAGCAATACATTATACACTGTATGTATAATGTTTTGCTGGGATTTGTTATATTCCTCTATAACTGGAGGTATTCTGTATTGTGCTGCAGGGGTGTGGACATTTTTGAAAAAACTACTTGTCCAAAAGGTAAGTATAGTGGGAGGGAGATTTGTGTGGGTAATTCCTTGGGAAAGTGAATACTTAGCGTTAATGCAGACTTGGGGATTCCCGGGACCTGCGATCGTGTGCGGTTGCATACTGCAGTTGCATCCGCATGTATGGGGTTACATCTGCGCGGCAATCGCTGAAAAAAAGGTAGATGTACCTATTTTCATGACATGCACCGTGCAGTGTTTTCAAATGTGATCGTGTGGGATCGCCCGGGCGGTATTGCAGCATGAAAACGCGCAATCTGCCTGGCACGACTGGGGTGCCATTCGAAAATAATGGCACTGACAGCACGATCGGCGGTGGTGTGCGATTCCGTGACCACCCAGCCATCCGCTCGGTTTCGTGCACGATGACCGGGCAGTCACGGATCGCACACCACTGCCGATTGCACTGGCAGTGCCATCATTTTCTAATGGCACCCCAGTCGCGCCAGGCAGATTGCGCGTTTTCCTGCTGCAATACCGTCCTGCCCGTGCGGTTGCACGCGATCGCAGGTGAAAACACTGAGTGTTTATTCGCATGCAGATGGGGGCAGCGGGGCTGGTTTTCATTTTTTTCAATTTTTATTTACTTTGTAAAATTTTCATTTGTTATATTATTTTTACTTTATCGCCTTTTTATTTTTTACATTTTTAATTATTTTTTACTTTTTTCTATTTTTTTTAACTTAACTGTATTGCTATTACACAGGGGATATAAATCCCCTGTGTGATAGCTTTTGGAGGTGACAGTTTCTCTTTGTTGACCCTGTCACCTCCTAACACAGGAGTTCTAGCACAGCACTGTGCTAGAACTCCTGTGACAGGAACGAGCAGCGGCCGCCAGGGACAGAGGCTGAGGGAGGTGACAGAGGCCGTCACTGCTCCATCACTACTCCACGCCCCCAGCTCCATCCACGCCCCTCGCTCTCGGCGCTCATTTAAGAAAAGAAAACCAGCCCTGCTACTTGTCCGTAGCAGGGCTAAAACAGTGAAAAAACCACTTGCCCAGCGCCCTGGACTACATGTCCCGGGCGTCGGGCGATACGAATTTCACACCCCTGTGCTGTATAATACATTATACAGTGGCACAATGCAGAATACCAGCAGCTATAGAGGAATACAACAAATCCCAGTAATAATACATTAAACAGCCTGTATAATGTATTATTGCTAGGATTTGTAGTCCTCTATAGCCGGTGCCATTCTACATCGATTGCTGTATAGTTTTACACTTTCCATTTCACTATATTGCACACCACATTTTTTTTTTTTTTCACTTCACCGCTCCAAGCTTGCTCCTGTGATGGACTACAATCTCAATACAAATTGGTAGTCCATCACTGGAGCCATTTTTTTTGAATCCCATTAATCAAAAACTTAAAAAATCACATTAATCGGCTACCTAAATCGATTTTGAAAATAATCATTAGCTGCAGCCCTAACAATTTGTCCTTAAAGAAGAAGTAAAGGCTGAGGAACTTCACACACCCCTGCTATTTTTCCCAAATCTCCTCTTGCTTTTTACAGTTCTGTCTTTGTTTTTTATTTAAAGTACTTACATACCCAGCAAATCCAATGATGTCCTGCTGAATTACGTCGCCAACATCTTCTCTTCCTATGTCATCAGGAGCTGGCTGTCTCTTGTCCCCTATATAACATACTGCCAGGTCTACCATCCAGACACTGCCCCTATTCCTGCAGCCCCCTGGGATATGTGATGGGGATAGCCTAGGAGGCTGCAGGAAGTAGTAATTCTTGCCTAGGAGAAAATTGAGGCAAGGCCTGCCCATAATTGTACTAAAATGTGTCATAACAGATACACAGACTTACCCATCTTTCGACAAGTGGTGTCTAAAGAAGTCATTGGCAGCCAGTTTAATAGCCTTCTCCGGAGTTACAAGAGTCAAGTTCACGGCAGCACCTGAAAACACAAAAACTTTGTTAAAGGTTTTTTGAGCTATGCTGTTTCCATATAAAAAAGAGTTGTGGCATGAATACTATATAACAGACACTACGGGGGACAATATTTACGCTTTAACCCCTTCGTGACGGGAGACGTACACTGTACGTCCAGCCACAAAGGGACCAAATGACTTGTCACGTACACTGTACGTGACGAGTTATTTGCTTCTTTAGAGGGCTGTTAAACGCTGAGAACCAGCTTTTAACATTCATTAATGGATGCCCTTACTACAGAGGCATTCATTAATGAAAGGGTTAACCTTTTTCAGACACCCGATACCTTAATATCGGGTGTCTGAGAGTCAAAGCAAAGCGGACACAGATGCCGGCTTTTGCCGGCATTCTGACAGCTCGTATAGATCGAGAGATATCTCTCTCAAGCTATACTGGGTTTTTTTTTTTTCTTTCATGAATAGATACAAAATGTGTCTATTCCTACAATGTATCTATTCCTGGAAGAAGAATGTTTGTTTGCTGATCGTTGTTGCAACAATCAGAAAACATTTAGTAACAGCTGAATCCTGAACTGCTGCAGGATCAGTGTCACTAACTTATTATCGGCTGTTCTGAAGTTTGAAGCAGCCTGATAATAACCAAAAATTTATTAATTTATCATGCAGTAACAGTGAGATTAATTCACAAAATCTGCTTGATATAATTAAATAAATAAAATAACATTTTTAAGTTAAAAAAAAAAGTGAAAAGTTAAAAAAAAAAAAAAAATTGTGAAAAGTGTAAAAAAAAATAAAATAAGGGACAAATAAATGAATGTATTTATTGCATTTTTTTAGCTGTGCTGGTGTTGTAAAAAAAATACTACAAATCAAAACTGGGAAAAAAGTGTTTTTTTTAACGTTTTTTTTCTCTTTTTTTATATTTTATTTGTCCTAAGTGAGGCGTTAGACACACATATGTGATATAAATATGTAGCCCTATCTGTCCTCTAAAAAACAATATATAATATGTGTGGGTGCACTTTGTAAGAAAGTATATTACTGACGTGGAAGAATCACACAGCAAAAATGTCAAAAGTGTGTCAGTCATTTACGAACAGAAACTAAAAACAAGCTCAGTCATGAAGGGGTTAAGAGAAAAAAAAAACAGAAGCGCTTTTGGCTGAATGCCCAGTCATAACTTTCTGTTAAATGTCAGTCATTTCAAAAAGTAAAGTCAAAGTTCCAGTATCTTCTCTATTCTTAAAATATATCAAACACTGTTGCTAAGTGTTTAGGAACATATCCTTGTGCAAGGCAATATAAACACACAGGCACAGCTTATAATGGTCAGTTTAAAGTCTACACTGTTATAGTTATGTACATGGAAGTAGGACATCCCTAATTAGTGCAGAGTGCAGTATGCACATCAATTTACAGGTTATCATTAAGAATGCATCTGCAAGGCAGTACACAGGACAACAGCTTAGAAAACCCATTTATATTCTAGAACTGGCTAGTATGTAAATAGACAGTTTTTACACACACCACAAATAAGCCTTCATCTTCATATGCACATATTTAGCAGAAACACAAGAAACCATACTTAGTAGCAGTGAAATCCAGAGAACAGAGCACAGGTAGAGGGAAGAACAAAACAACAAATCATGCATAAGCATTTTAAAGAAGACAGTTATTGAATTTCCATCAAAAGAAAAAAAAAGACATTTACACAGATCAAAATTATGGAGTAAACCCACTCATTAAACTTTAACCCACATGTACAGTTGGCAGTGTTAAAAAGACTTAATAAAGTTGTCTTTACTAGAGTTATCCAAAGGCCTCAATCTATTTACCATTATTCACACACCACACCCTAAGTCCACCTTGACTGCAGCCGACAATCTAATTCAGGGGGAACCAAACTCCGGCCCTCCCATGATGCATCTCTCTCTGGGAGTCATGTCTGTGAGACTCTTGCAATTAATCATGGGACAGCTGGAAGGCCAGAGCTTGGCTACCCCTGATCTAATACTTCCCAGGGGTTGGTTTTATAAAACCTCCTATTTTGTCATTCTCTGCAATGGTCCCCAGTTTTACATCTACGTAGTGCACTAAATGTGACCTAGAATTGACCTAAATCTCTCAACTTTGCCTCCACTTGTATCTCTAGATTTCTCCCGCACTGCACCTATTCTGTAGAATTTCTCTGATCTTCAATGCCTCAAGCACACCCTTAATACAGCAGATTTTCCTGTGTGCACATATTCTGAGCTTTTGTAGTGTTAACTCTAATTTTGATATGATAATCACATTTTTACATGCTTGCTCCGCTACAGATTAACCATTTGACGCATCTGTATCTGAATTCGCCACACTCAGCTGTTAGGCAAGGAGATTAAGAGTTCGGAGACACGGGGCGTGCATTGCTATCAATTGGCCAACTCAAACTTACACTGAGAAGGAGCAGTAAAGCACAACCAATGGACAGAACAATGCATTGAATATGTAAAAACAAGCATGTCTGCTGTTGATTAATTACAAATTATAAAAGTAGAAACAGGACTTTTAAAATACAAACAATCATTCTTAAAAGGTGTCTATCATTTGATACGTTTGTTTGAATGTCACAAATGTTGTATGTGACTTTGTAAAATGAAAACATCATTAAAATGACATAAAAATCAAAACAAAAATAAAAAGTTTACATGATCCCGATTTACTTTACATTATATGTCTAATGAAAAACATACTACATTTTAGAACTGCCTCCTTGAGCATATGTGGTTTAGAAAACACTAATTTCTGCCCTATGCCCTAATAAATGGGCACAATGTAAAACAGCTGATGCTTCCTTTGTTGTGCTTTCTTGGGCGGTGGAAGGATAATATCACGCATACCACATTTCAACATTTTGCCATTTAACACTGCCGACAGTATACTTATGTTTAGTTCAATGATGGTTCCCAATATGTTTTACATGTGGATGGTACCAATGCTAGGTCTTTCAAAGAACTGTCTTATGAAAGAAGAAAACTAATACATAGAGAAGACAGACAAAGAAGCCTAACTTTTACAAAAAAGGGTGTAAAAATCCTCAAAATTAAAAGGGGAAAGTAAAAACAGAAAAAGTTTTTCCTAATTACAATTGTAGTACTGTAAGACCCATTTTAATGATCCATCGTGGCTTCGCCACATCGGCTAGCCCTCAAAATCCACGGCGATAGTTCTGTAATATGAAAAACACAGATGCAACAAAGAACATTCTACACAACAATCTGGCATGTGAAAATAAAATTCTACTTGTATATGAACCATAGCATTTGATCCCACAATTAGAATTAAAGAGGGACCCAATACATCTAGGATCACAGCAATTGGCGATTGTCTTTTTTTAAATATTCAATGGAGTATGTCTTTATAGTACCAGGTTTACCACCCATACATAAATATGTAGCTGTGAGGCCCCAGGCTAGATTAAATACAAAGTACAATCCACAGCTACTTTACTTTCCAGTACAGGTCCCAAATGTACATACACTTTAGCAACAAATAAGCAGGAATATTACATTGTATTATTAAGCAGCATGTTTAACAAGAGCGGGCTTCTCTCAAGGCAACGTACATGAACAGAAACCACGATGCAATGGTAAAAATGATGCTCTGCAGCTTGCAAATGTATCATGGGTATGCAAAGGAAAACTGTGGCATCAATTGTTAATTATATTTTGGCCAAAACCAAAACATGTTTACTGGACCAAAGATGTCGGAAACCAGCTGGAAGGAGAAGGAAAAAACAAAAACATACCTCTATACATCCCAAAATAACCTTCTGATCTCACAGTCTTTACCAAACAGTCCCATCTGAAATGAAGAGAAGCCATAGGATAAAAAACAGTCTGTTAATACAATTTGTTTTTAGTATTTTACATGCACTGATTGGTACTACTCTGATAATCACAAATAAGAGTATTCTGTCCTAATCTAATCCCACTTACATGCTTTTGTAGACTTGCTGGCCCTTTCTCTGGTTTTGGAGGCGGGTTTTGGTCAGGTCAACTGGAAAAACACAAGTCACTCCAATGATTCCGGCAATTCCACCGTTGATGAGCTTGGCAGGCAAACTGAGGGGGGAAAAAAAGAAGGTTAAAGTGTTTTCCAGAAACTCTACAATTTTACACATTTGAAAACTTTACCAGAAGCAACCATTAAAGACTGCATGTTCCTGAGTAGCGGGCTGTGGGTTTTGATTTCTAAATATAGTTAATTGTTTTAAAATTTAATAGCAGAGACCCATGTCTGACATGGGCACATTGAGAGCATTCAAACAGTTCAGAAAAAAATAAAAATGATCCATACATACTTTTTTTTTTTTTAATTGAAAAGCCAAAGTTAAAGCAGAGTGTGCGTATTGGTCAATTACCTAATCTGCTTCTCAGCCATGGTCAAGTTTTTTTCTTCTTTAGAAGATAGATTTGGTCACAAACGCACAAGCTTGTTCCTGCACGGAATCCCAACAGAGCTCTGCAATGAGAAGGCACAGTTTAAATCTCATCAGCTGTGTGTCTAAATATACCCCTGGCACGCACTCACTTGTAAAAAAGATGAGCTAAAAACGAACTCAAGTGACTCACGTACAGCTCACTGCACACACAACTAAACACTAGGCTAATGAACTAATGCTTGCACCCAAAACAGCAACTTGCATCAGCCAGCACAGAAGAGAAAGGCTCATGTGCTTTGCCAGCTACAACCCAAAATATGCTAAAGATTTGGCATTCAGTATGAACAGCAGTAGGGATTAATGGCTTGGACTGACTAACCACGAGATGCACGAAGGTTTAAAAGATAAAATGTACAACTGAAATCTAACTTTTTGTCAGCCGCAACATTATAATGAAATACACGTCACTTCTTAAAGAAGCAAAAGCTTGTAAAATCTGCCTGACTTCAGTGTCAGTCTTCATACAAGAGCTAGCAATTTTCATTTGATTTACTAATCCACGGCAATACACCATTGAGAAGACTATGCTTTGGCTTTAGGCCTTGTTCACACCAAGCGCGGAGCAGGTGCAGAGCAGATCAGTTGCAGACCGGATCAAAACTGCATCCAATGTATTCCAATGCTATTTTTTGCTCCAGTTCACATCGCAGCGTGCAGTTGCAGAGCAGATCCAGAGCAGGTAAAAAAACTGCAGCAGGTCCTATTTTACCTGCTCTGGATCGCATCAAAAACGCATGCAAATCCCTGGAACTCACTGAAAGCCCATTTTAAACTTTAAAAAAATTAAATTTATCCAAAAAGAGCCCGGAAAGCATCAAAAACACGGCACAAAACGTGTCAAAAAGACTAGCATGCGTGTGCAGAAACCTGACCGGATCTGCTCTGCATTTGGTGTGAACAAGGCCTTAAAGTAAAGTAGGGTATACACGATTAGATTGTTGTACGAACGTTCAATAAACTTCTAGCTGGAACTTTTGATACTGGCATCAGTTGATCTGACCCGATTAATGATTAGAAAGTCAAACGAACGTTCTGAATTAGGTTTCGTTCAATATTCTAACCGTGTATACCCTTACTTAAAGCAGTCATAAATTTTTTTCTGAAAATGCTAGCCCTTGCTAGGCTCTTATGCTGACCCACTGGCTTCAATACATTCTGAGTAACTAACCAAAGTACACAGATCGGGAAGGTCAGAAGTCCTCCTCTCTGTACACTTGTTCCAGGTCTTTGGCTCAAAGTATTGAAACATAATATATAACATCCCAAGGGTAGCCACTGCACTCTCTATGAGGTAAATGTCGAGGTGATTATCCACAAAAGAAATATCTACACAAATCCAAAAAACAGGTATTCTAGAGGCACACATGGATCTTGCAACAGAGTTAAGAGAAAAGGAGGGAATCCCTTTGGGAGCAGTGACTGATAGTGACCACTCACAGCAGGGAGATGATTCAAAAGTGAGCGAGCGACTGTATGCGTTCGCTCACTTCCTGATCAATAGAGCCGACGTGTGACAGTTTCAATGTAACACGTCGGCTCCAACTATGAGGACTCACCGCATAGTTCTCCTTCTCAACTTTGTGGGGGCAGTTTGGGGATGGCCCCTTCCGGTCCCAACATGACTGCGCACCAGTGCACAAAGCAAGGTCCATAAAGACATGGATGAGTGAGTTTGGGGTGAAGGAACTTCACTGTCCTGCACAGAGTCCTGCCCTCAACACGATAGGACACCTCTGGGATGAATTAGAGCGGAGACTACGAGCCAGGCCTTCTCGTCCAACATTAGTACCTGACCTCACAAATGCACTTCTGGAAGAAAGGTCAAACATTCCCATAGACACACTCCTAAACCTTGTGGACAGCCTTCCCAGAAGTGCTGAAGCTGTTATAGCTGCAAAGGGCGGGCCAACTCAATATTGAACCCTACAGACTAAGACTGGGATGCCATTAAAGTTAATGTGCAGGTAAAGGCAGGTGTCCCAATACTTTTGGCAATGTAGTGTACATACACACAGTATTCAGACCCTGGCCCAGGCTGTGCATACACCTTGCGATCATTGGACGAAAACACGATTGCATACGAAAATCGGCCGATATTCGTAAGGTGTATGCACACCTTTACCGAGATGTTTCTACACCTCGATTGGAGTCCATCTGTGGTAAATGAAATTGATTGGACATGATTTGGAAAGGCGCACACCTCTCCATAGAAGGCGTCACAGCTGACAATGCATACTGTATCAGAGCAAAAGCCATGATATCAAAGGAACTGCCTGCAGAGCTCAGAGACAGGATTATTGCAAGGCACAGATCTGGGGAAGGGTACAAAATAATTTCTAATGCACTGAAGGTTCCAACGAGCACAGTGGCCTCCATAATTCTCAAATGGAAGAAGTTTGGCACAACCAGCACTCTTCCAAATGCTGGTCACCCAGCCAATCCGAGCAATCAGAGAAGGACCTGTTTAACCTCCCTGGCGGTATGATTATTAAGGATTTTAGCATCCCAAAGCGGTACATTGTTGTTCATGGAAATTTGTTGTTTTATATTGTAGGTCATTCTTAGTAAATCTTAGGAATAACTCGCCTAAATCTGTCCAAAGTGACTTTCAGTGTCTGATGACGAATTTCGCCAACGAATCGCTATCGCTCAATTCTGAAAGTGATTATAACTTACTATCGCTGTTTTCTACCTGGTCTAAAACCGCTTTTGACCTAAAGGGACGCTTTTTGGATGCCATGGACGTTCACAAGTTTCCAGGCAGAAAGAACAGTAAAAGTGCAGGTAGGGCACTGGACAAAGCTCTAGGGACAAAATTGAAGTGAAATAGCTTGATACATAAGTGTAATTATAGCAGATTACATTGTATTGTGTGTATTCTGTGTAAAATGTCATGTTTTCACTTTTGAATTTCCCGCCGGCTCCGCCCCCCCGCTGTGACGCCCGAAAAACGAAACAAACTCAGATGCCGGCGTCGCCGGCCGCGTACAGCAGAGGACACCGCGGGCTCGCAGGGACAAGGTAAGCGACACCTTTCTGTGCAATCCCAAGTCTGGCTCGGGGTTACCGCTCTTGGTACTGAAAATTAACCCCGAGCCAAACTCGGGAATACTGGCAGGGAGGTTAAGAGAGGTGACCAAGAACCCGATGGTCACTGAGCTCCAGAGAGCCTGTGTGAAGGTGGAAAAAAGTTCCAGAAGGACAACCATCACTGCAGCCCTTCACCAATGTGGCCTTTATGGCAGAGTGGCTAGAAACACATGAAATCCAGCTTGGAGTGTGCAAAAAAAAAAAAAAAAAAGCACCTGAAAGACTCTGACTGTGGGGGAACAAGATTCTCTGGTCTAATGAAACCAAGATGGAACAGTTTGGCCTCAATTGTAAAGGTTATGTCTGGAGGAAATCAGGCACTGCTCATTACCTGCCCAATACCATCCCAACAGTGAAGCATGGTGGTGGCAGCATCTGCTGTGGGGATTTTTTTCAGCAGCAGGAACTGAGATACTGGTCAGGGTTGAGGGAAAGCTGAATGGAGCAAAGTACAGAGATATCCTCAATAAAAACCTGTTCCACAGCACTCAGGACCTCAGACAGAATGACCCTAAACACACCCAAGACAACACAGGAGTGGCTTGTAGCATCATACCCAAAAAGACTTGAGGCTGTAATTGCTGACAAAAAGGTGCTTCAACAAAGTACTGAGTTAAGGGTCTGAATACTTAAGTACATGTGAGATTTCAGTTTTTTCTTTTTAATAAAATCAAAGACATTTCTTGAATTCTGTTTTCACTGTGTCATTATGGGGTACATAGTGTAGATTACTGAGGGGAAAAAAATATTAAACAACTGTAGTATCAGGCTGCAACATAACATTGAAAAAAGTGAAGGAGGTCTGAATTATAGACATATATATTCACACACACACATAAATCACACACAAACCTGGTATATACTTTTCAAAGTCCTTTTACATTATCTGAAATCTCAAATTAAACACATTACAGGAAAATGTTAGAAAATATCTAAACTAAACTAATGTGAGTGGTGCTTTTGTATATGTTAAGAAAACTAGGAAAGTTTCCCAAGTGAATGTAAAAAAAAACAAAAGATAAAATCCAATGAGGCAATATTCTAAACCATTGAGTCCTTGTGTTTGTTTAATCAGCCATAATAAATAATGTGCCTTTGTGCTAACCCCCTGTGAATAGAAGTTCAACCAAATCCACAGTGAAAAGGAAATAGCAAAAACTGCACGCAAGGCTTAATAATGCCTTAAGCACTACGTGCACAAACCACACCGAATATCAGATATAAAATACCCAATTGTTTTGGGGGGTTTCATTTCAATTTTTACTAAAAACTCAAAAATGTTACAGCTCTTTCTGGAACAGAGAAAGGTAGGTATAGATGTAAATGTAAAGCACATCCTCACTCCCCATTTAGGTGAACTCGCTTCACTTCCTGTTCCATACATACACCTGGATGTATGAGGAAATTCCGCCATTGACAGTTGTCACCAAAGCAAAGTAATTTCCAAACATTTATATAGATCGGTGCCTTTATTTTATTTCTGGATGACCTAGGTGAAGGTGCATGATAATACAAAAAGGAGGTTCTTGTAATTTTACAGCCTGGGCTACAAATTGAATGATTTCTGAATAAAAAAATGTCAAAACTAAAGTAAAAATATTTGTACATATTAGTTTGGAAAAGACCTTTCACATAAAAAAATTAAAAAATGTTTTCTACTTCAAAGATGCTAAGTGGTCAGTGACGCACACAAAACAAATAAATAAAAAACATTGAAACCACACAAAATAGTTGTTTTTGCATTACCAAGTTGTTTAAAATATGTGAGCGCTGGAATGTACTCTTCTATTTCACCACTAAATACTTGCCTTGGGTCCATAAAAACAAGTTTGGTTTGTTAATCAGCAAACAACATTCATTTCTAAACTTTACAACTCTTCTGATGTTATCACGGTTTCTTGGAAACAAATTCCTTATTTCATTTAAGTAAGCATTTCTGCCACACTGAATGACTTCATGCACACGTTGTGACTCAGCATCCACTAATCAGCATTTCACTGGAGACTGCCGGCCAGAGAGAACTTAAAACATGACCGGTGAACTTTAGAAGAGCAGTGCCATGGTCCAGGAGACAAAGAGGGCAGCACGACGACGACAACAACAGCAGAGTTTAAGTTGCACATATATACCTCTAGACTGGAGTCTGTTTTAAGGGCTGTATTGTGATTCTCTACAATTTCCTTTTATTAGACTTATGCAGACACAGCAGTAAAAAGACTAGTTCTAGAAGAAAGAAGGAAGGAAGGAAGAGAGACGCCTATTTGTAAAATATAGGACAAACCAGTTTTTCTGCAGTAAATAATAATAAAAAAAAAAAAAAAGTAGTACTGTGCATAGAAAAAAAAACAAAAAAAATCTAGTTGGGACAGGTTTAGAATGCTTTGAGATTTATGAGAAATCAGCAAAAAACGTAAGAGCAGAGTTCAGGCAGTGCAGTGTACACAATGTACACTCACTACTAGAACTGGAAGACATTTCACAATGACAAGGCTGAATGGTGTGGAGATAACCAGGAATCCTGCAAGGCATATCGCACAGCAAGATGCCTTCATCTGCTGAAAGATAAAACGAACTTTACATATCTGCAAATACTAACAGGGGAAAAAAGCATGCAGGCAGTAGTGCTGAGCACGTCTTGTTCACAGTACTGATAGCAGTTCTTGGAAATATGGCATCATTCAAAGACTCATTACTTGCAGCAAGTGGGTGTTGCTCTGATCCTCTTCTAATGCTGTACTGTGCACGGGTTTTTATTTTTTTAACTTTAATTTTTTTTTGTCTTTTTAATTTGTTTAACTTTTTTTAAACTTGTTTTTTTTACTTTATTGCTGGGAGCAATAGCCAGCCTGCTATTGGATATTTCAAATTGCAATAGCCAATAGCAAGCTGGCTTTTGCACCCACCCACTGCCTGCTTTTCAATCAGCAGAAGAGGGACCTGAAGGAGAAAGTTCACCATCAGGTCCTCTTCTGCTATTTGACAGCAGGCAGTGGGCGGGTGCAATAGCCAGCCTGCTATTGGCCATTGCATTTTAAAATATCCAATAGCAGGCTGGGTATGGCTCCCAGCCTCTAGATGCAGAGGAGGCACGGGGCAGAGGAGGCGCAGGGGAATGCAGTCACAGCAGTCTCTCCTCCCCGCTGGTGCTGGCTGCAGTGGTCTGTGTCCGTGCTGCATCTGCCGATACAGGCGGGGATTGAAAGGGATACAGACCACTGCAGCCAGCACCTAAATCGAAAAGCAACTAATCGATGACGAGAATCGTTGCCAACGATTCTCATTATCGTTATAATCAACTTAATCGACTAGTTGTTGCAGCCCTAACTGGCTCCAGCACTGGCTGATCATCATTACACAGAAAAGGTTTCCTGCCAGTAACAATGGTGGATCATGTCTGCATAGTGTCCGAACAGACGCTTGTGGCGTCAACCAAGAACACAAGTGGCAGGGTAACAGCAAGGCCCTTCATGGCAGGATTAACAGGTACGATAATGAAAGCTGCAGATTTAAAGTCCACCTTCTTTTCAGTCACTAGTTGGTGCTGCTGTTCTGGGTTTAACCCCTTCGTGACTGACGACGTACAGTGTACGTCGCCAGCATCGGGGCTGTTTAAACAGACTCCCGGTGACTTTTGCCGCCGGGACTCTGTTTAAACTTGTAGAGCCGACTGTCGGCTTTACAACAGAAGCGATCCTGGCGACTTACCTGTCGCCAGATCGCTTCTGCGTCCCGAAGAAGGGGCCAGTAATTTTCAGGCCTAAAATGTGGAATATAACATGGGTACAAAAAAATGAAAAAAAAAGGCCTCAGTCATGAAGGGGTTAAAGACACCCAGCACCACTTTGTGAGCCCGGGACATTAAAGATCTGCCCCTGTGGTTATGTCATCCAGCTACCTTGGACTCATAGGAGACTGCTACAGAGAGTGGTACCACATCAGTAGTTGTCAATGGAGTACAAATGATCCACTGATTACTTGCTCCAGTAACTGAAAGTCAGCACCTCAATACGGAGGGGAGCTGGAGAAACAGTCTGCAGAAGCCTGAGCATTGCACCCACCATCCCCTGATAGTGGTTGCAATAATTTGCAAAATAACTAGTAAAAGGCAGATTTTGTTAACCAATGTGGGTACTTTCATTATTTTTTTGGAGAAGCTGGAATTATCCATTAACAAAGTTGAAAACAATGTTTAAAATCACATGTTATGGTTATATGGAATTTTACTAGTCGGACTTCGATACACTACAATGAATGTATGGGCAGATTTAGTTTAAAACCATTTCTATTCTCTGGTGATGACTAGTTCAATTGCTTGGTAATATTTTTCTGTATTGTCTAGATTTAGAGAGAATAGCACGTTGGATGTCTGCCACTTAAGGAAAAAACTTTTATAACATCAGGATCTCTTCTGGCCAGATGGAGGACTTTATGGGGGGTAGAGGCAGCCAAATTCAAGCTGACCCTAAAGCTCTACATTTTATTAAAGGTATTTAAATAGCGCCGGCAATTTACACAGTGCTTTACATACTGCACAGTCACATCAGTCCCTGCCCTCAAGGAGCTTACAATCTAAGGTCCCCATATCGCATGCATACATACAGGCCTGATTGAGGGCCGCTTCACACCACAAAGAACGTGTTCCAGATCGTTCGGCCTCTGGAACGCAACCTGGCTGACTCCCTGCGTTCAGGGGTGGGAGGGGGCGTGGCAGTGCATTGAAGTCAATGGCACCGCAGCCACACCCCAACCGCTGTGCAATCGCCGGTACCTGAACACGTGGCACATTAGTGCCTGCGTTCCAGTCCAGTTCGATCTGCAAAAATGCTGTATTCGCTATTTTTGCAGATTGCACTGGACCAGACTTCAATGCACCGCCATGCCCCCTCCCGCCCCTGAGCACAGGGGGTCGGCCGGTTTGTGTTCCAGAGGCCGAACGCTTTGGAACACATTCTTTGTGGTGTGAACCGGGAGACAATTAACATACCAGCATGTCTTTGGAGTGTGGGAGGAAACCCACACAAGCACAGGGAGAACATGCAAACTCCTTTTAGATAGTGACCTGGCCATGATTTGAACCAGGGACCCCCAGTGCTGCAAGGCAGAAGTGCAAACCACTATGCCTCTGTGTTGCTTTGCATAAAAAATAATCTCATAGGTTTGGTTGAAAAAGCATAAGATGAGATATGTGCTAAAATTCCACATTAACTTACCAGGAAAACCCCGGGTCTGATTTCAATATTCTTCAGAGATCTAAAAAAATACATATATATATAAATAAAATGTTATTTTTTTGTCAGTGATTTTCTTTGGTCATTGTTTACATCACACACAAACATTTTAAACTGTAAAGCAGAACCATGCTAAGCCCACATTTACACCGTGGCATTCCGGGAACACGCATCACGATCGCTTGCTTAATTTGCTGCGCCTCCCCATTGAGTTTGATGGGGTCCTGAATGTGCAACAAATGTGGCAGAAAACTCATGTACCAAATTTTGTGACATGCATTCCACATTTGTGTGCATTTTAATGCACGCAAACAGAGTAAAAACGTACATTTTCCTGGCTGCATTTGGGGTGCCATTAGAAATGAATGGCAATGCAAGTGAGTTTTGCAGCGTTTCTGACAATGTGCGCCAAAGTTTGTGGTTTTGTGCGCGTTTAACACACGTTCACCCAAAGCACAGGTGTGAATGCGGGCTTATGTCTGAAGCATCCAATCTTGATGAAAAGTCTTAAGGTGTCCTTAAAACTTACAATTATCTGCAGATTTTCTGTGGTCAGATGGAAAAAGTGCAACAGATTGGCCCAGGTGGAGATTCCTCCATCCACACAGTTAAGTGTAGATGGAGGAATCTGTTCCACCTTTTCCATCTGACCATAGAAAATCTGCAGATAAAAAAATAATAATTTTTTAAGTAAACCATCACTAACTCACCCCCAGGCCGCCATAGTTAAACCAAAAGTTGGGTACACAGGGATATTGTTTTTCAGAGGCTGAACTAAAAAAAAAGTCCGACAGGTTCCTCCATCCGCGGTAACAGTGTGGCTAGACGAATGTCCCACTGTGTACATTATATTCCGAGAGCAGCGCTGTCAAAATACCCCAATAGTGACAGCAGCCGATTGTCTCTAAGTACTGTTCAGCCGACAATTTTTATTCTATTGATTGACTTGTCACAGAGATATGGCCACCCACAGGCTGAATTTCTGTCTATTCCACCTGAATCAACAAAATTAAATCCGTGACTGCCCAGCTTTACCAACCTACTTCCTTCCATCTGTACTGCTGTGGGCTGACAGAATTCCCTTCAGCACTGGTCACATACTGTTCTCTAGTGACTTGAACACTTCCAAATAATGCCAAGTCTGAAGAGCTCAATTCTCAGTATAGGACTTTATTGTAGTCAATGTAGACTTTGTGCACAGGGTCAGTGTCTGGAAACACCGGAGGCTGCGGGATACCTGTTCCTGTGACAATTGTTTATAAAGGGGATTTCCCCTCACTAGTCTTCTCTTCCTGTTGTATCTACAGGCTGCTATTATTACAGGTAACAGATGCTGGTGGGAATAGAGTATTGGGAAAGACTGGGGTGGAGTATTCAAAAAAAGTACTGGGGGACAATGAGATATAGTACTGGGGACGTAGTATTGGGGGGCACAGCACTGAGGGACCCCACAGGCATGGCACTGGGGGACCCAAGGGGCATAGTATTGGGGAACACAATACTGAGGGGTGCTAGGACATAGTATTTTTGAAGGCTGGCAGACAATACTGAGGGAGGCTGGGACATAGTATTAGGGAACACATTACTGGGAGAAGCTGGTACATGGTATTGGGCGACAAAGCGCTGGGACATGGCACTGTAACACTCTGAGCACATACAGATGTACAGAGGTCACAGGTTCATTCATTCAGCTCACTCACCCTCCCCGGTCACACACGGCTGAGCGGTATAGGACGGCGCTGGGGACAGATGATAAGAGGTATCCCGGTAAGGGGGTCCGCTGTCCGGAGTTGGTAGAAGATGAATGGAAAACTCTGCACCCCTCAGAGAGCCGGAGAAAAAAGAGAATCTTTAGAAACTTCCAGAGCTCCTTACTGCCGAGGGCGTCACCGACTTATCCTCAACCAATCACTGAACTTGCGAACGTTATACTGTTATTGGCAAAAGCCAACCAGGTGGCAGCCACATTCATGTGTAAGGGTTTAAGCCCCTCCCAGGAGAGGAATTCATGTCTGGGTAGTACGGTAGTGTTGCTGTCAGTCCGGGGGGTAGGGGTAGTAGTCGTGTCACGGTGGGGAAGGGGTGGAGGTTATCAGTGTGCTGCACAATGGTTCATTGCTGACTAGGTTACATTTACTGCATCACCTATTCTCAGCCACCATTCACACTATGACAACTACACTACGCCCACTAATTGTTTTATTGTAACGTTGTCATCCAATGTAAATGTTCAGCTGGACGTGAGACTCATTTTTGTCTTTTGTAAAGGAAAGAAAAAATCGACTGCTGACATTGCTGAACTAAAGATAATAATAGATAACACTATGGGGTTGATCTAAAATAGGTTCACCCAGTGTATAGCTGAGCATAAGGAATTTTCTATGATGTGCCATTCCATCTACTGGCTGTAATGCACTGCAAACGTTGTTTGCTCAGCTATATGCTGGGCAAACATATTAGAAATCAACTTCTAAGTCGATGGTTCCCAAATTTTTTCACATTTCTATAAATTGTGCCCCCCCTTCCCAACTGTATTTAATGAGTTGGAGGACTCTGACATCTATGCTGGTCAGTAGTGCAGCAGTTTTGCTGAGCCTCATTCCAAGGAATACATTTTCCAGAAAATTAAACAGTCTGCTGTAGGTCACTCTTCTACAAGGAGCCTGTGCCTAATGGGTGCATGGTGCTCTACTTTCTTACGGGGAGCCTGTGCCTAATGGGTGTACGGTGCTCTGCTCTCCTACAGGAATCCTGTGCCTAATGGGTGCATGGTGCTCTACTTTCTTACAGGGAGCCTGTGCCTAATGGGTGTACGGTGCTCTGCTCTCCTACGGGGAGCCTGTGCCTAATGGGGGTACGGTGCTCTGCTCTCCCACAGGGAGCCTGTGCCTAATGGGTGCATGGTGCTCTTCTTTCCTACAGGGAGCCTGTGCATAATGGGTGTACGGTGCTCTGCTTTCTTACAGGGAGCCTGTGCCTAATGGGTGTACGGTGCTCTGCTCTCCTACAGGGAGCCTGTGCCTAATGGGTGCACATGCTCTGCACTCCTACAGGGAACCTGTGCCTAATGGGTGCATGGTGCTCTGCTCTCCTCTCCTACAGGACACCTGTGCCTAATGGGTGCATGGTGCTCTGCTCTCCTACAGGAAACCTGTGCCTAATGGGTGCACATGCTCTGCACTCCTACAGGGAACCTGTGCCTAATGGGTGCATGATGCTCTGCTCTCCTACAGGAAACCTGTGCCTAATGGGTGCATGGTGCTCTGCTCTCCTACAGGAAACCTGTGCCTAATGGATGCATGGTGCTCTGCTCTCCTACAGGAAACCTGTGCCTAATGGGTGCACATGCTCTGCACTCCTACAGGGAACCTGTGCCTAATGAGTGCCCGGTGCCCTGCTCTCCTACAGGGAGCCTGTGCCTAATGGCTGCACAGTGCTCTGTGCTCTGCAGGGAGCCTGTACTTAATGGGTGCATGGTGCTCTGCTTACCTACAGGGAACCTGTGCCGAATTGGTGCCCGGTGCTCTGCTCTCCTACAGGGAGTCTGTGCCTAATGGCTGCACTGTGCTCTGCAGAGAGCCTGTACTTAATGGGTGCATGGGGCTCTGCTCACCTACAAGGATCCTGTGCCTAAAGGGTGCACTGTGCTCTTCTCTTCTACAGGAAATCTGTGCCTAATGGGTGCATGGTGCTCTCCTCTCCTACAGGAAACCTGTGCCTAATGGGTGTATGGTGCTCTGCTATCCTACAGGAAACCTGTGCCTAATGGGTGCACGGTGCTCTGCTCTCCTACAGGAAACCTGTGCCTAATGGCTGCACAGTGCTCTACAGGGAGCCTGTACTTAATGGGAGCATGGTGCTCGACTCACCTACAGGGATCCTGTGCCTAATGCCCAGATAGCAAGCAATTGAGGTGCAAGTTTGAAAATGAGTTGCTAAACTATTGCAAAATAATAAACAATAGCAAAAAAAAAAACTGCTAAGAAAAAAGTAATATTTTGTATTTATCCTTTTTTAATTGTTTTTTAAAATGTATTATTGTTATTATGATTATTATTATTACTGTGCTCTGACACTTTACACAGTGCTTTACATAGTTGCACATTCACATCAGTCCCTGCCCTCAAGGACCTTACAATCTAAGGTCCCTATCTCGCATACATATGATGGCCAACTTAGAGAGGAGACAATTACCTACCAGCATGTCTTTGGAGTGTGGGAGGAAACACAGAGTGCACTGTGAGAGCCATGATTGGGCAAAGTAATGATGACTTTGCCCAATCATGGCTCACAGCTAAGTGCTGTCAGGTGTTGGACAAATGTAAACAGTTGGGCGGAGCTAGCGGTGATGTCACTGTTTGTTTATATTTTGCGGGCATCTGTCAGAATGCCATTCTGCGGCGGGAGTTCGTCACAAGTGGACGGGTCGGCGGGCGTCTGGGCATGAGGTGTGCTTGCTTGTCCCCCCTTTCCTGCCCTGCCAGGCCTGTGCTCGGATCAAGGGTCTGGTTAGGAATTTCAGGGGGGACCCTATCCCCCCCCATTTTTGGGGGAGGGGTTCCTCTCTAAAATTCCTACCAGACCTTAAGGGCCTGGTATGACTTTGAGGGGGAACCCCACGTGCATTTTTGTTTGTTTGTTTAAATGGGGTCCTTTCTAAAATTCCTACCAGCCTACCAGGGTCTGGTTTTACTTTTGGGGGGAACCTCATGTTTTTTTTTTCTTTTTATTTAATTGGGGTCCCTCCTAACATTCCTACCAGACCTAACATCTTTATAAATGTCATTTTTGCTGCAGCAGGTTCTATACATCGTACAGATGTGCCACTTTACAGGCAGTTTAAGGGGACCCCCCAGACACGATATTTAAAGGAATTTTTCATTTTTATCGTTTCACTTTAAGCAATGTTAAAATCACTGCTCCTATAAAAACTGTATTTTTTAAGTTTTTTTTCCCATTGATTCCTGTCCCCCAGGGCAGTACCCAAATCCTCATACCCTTTTTATGGCCAATATCTTGCATATAAGCCTTCAAAAAGGGGACATTTGATTTTCCGAGTTCTGGTCCCATAGACTTTCATTGAGTTCGAAGCTTGACTTCAAACTTTTTCCATGTTCTAAAGTTTGAACTCGAACTGAACTCAGGTGTGTTTGGACCATCAGTACTTTAGGGCACCGTAACAGAAGAAAGTTCAGAACTTTCTTTCTGAACTTTCCACTCTCCATTCACAGCATTACTATACTACACAGCCTCCAGGGCTGTGTAGTGACGTTTTGAAGTGTGTGACCTATTACTCCAGGGGTGTAGGCAGTGGGAGGATGTCATGTAAGCAGCTATGTGCAGTGCATGTAGATGTGGAAAAAAATCTTCCGTTTGATTACAAACCTTTTGGATACTAGCAAGTATAAAAAAAAATCTATTTGTACAACCTGTATGGCAGTGTTAAATAAGAATTCCACTGTAATAAGCTAAATACACTACTGAAAAATACAGTATATATACTGTATACCTGTAAATACCTGAGGCAGAAGTCAAAGGCTACAATAGATCTAACAGATATCCATCATGTATGAATCTGGACTTCTGCCTCAGGTAATTTACAGGTAATTAGTTTTAAAAACTGTAAAGCAGGTTGGATCTTCTTTCGTTAGCATCTAGATATGAAGGTCAAGATGAGGGTCACGTGTAATGAAAGGTAAATTAGGTCAGTATAATTTAAGTATGCATTTGTAGGTCAGGCAGTGTAAGATTTTTCCTATTTAGAAATGTGTGTTCTGATCTGCTCCACATACAGTATGTCTTTCCACAGTAATAGCCAAATCTGACAGAAACGGGTGGTTTCAGAACCTGATGCCCACTCATATTGTGCTTGGGACTATAGAAATCATCAATCGGGAGTTGCATACATACCTTAGCCTGGCCAACAGCTGATCACAATTTAAAGTTCTTTTTTTTGCTAGAGTGGGACTGTCAGTATGTTAGCTGCAGTGCAGTGCGTTTTTGACGCGTTTCCTGACCGCACAAAATGTGACATGCAGTATTTTTCTATCGTAACCTGAACGGACTGCGCACGTGAGAACTGTAGCCCATAAAACACATAGGGATACATTGAGATGCATTTTTAGTGCAGGAGCGTATGGATCAGGTCAGCACAGAAAACGGACGTCGTGTGAACAGGCCCTAAGGGCTCGGTCACACTTGATGCAGTGCGTTCCGGCCCAATTTTGGCCAGAACGCACATGCTCACTTTTTAGTGGGGTAGGAGGGGGCATGGCCGGCCATTGAAGTGAATGGCGCCGTAGCCACGCCCTCCGGCCGCAATGCGATCCCCCGCATGGGATCACAAGGCACATTGTGCGGTGTGATCAAAATGCTACAGGTACTATTTTGATCCCATCGCACAGGGCCGGACCGAAGGCACAATGTGCCTTGCGATCCCGTTCGGCGGATCGCATTGCGGCCGGAGGGCGCGGCTACGGCGCCATTCACTTGAATGGTCCGCCACGCCCCCTCCCACCCCACTAAAAAGTGAGCCGGCCGCAATGCGACGCAGTGCGTTCCGGCCAAAATCGGGCCGGAACCCACTGCATGT